AGCTTTGGTTTTTAATGACCAGCTTTCGGTTACTCACCGGAGAGTGCTTTAACGTAGCTGAGGTCTTTGGCTGCCATAAACGCTTCACTATCGAGAGAAAAACCTTGAAGGGAAAAAACACCACCACACAACACCACTTGGGATCGTTTGTCCTTCAGGCTGTTGCCAGAGGCACAGTGTTGGTGGGCATCGGCCGGAGGGGCCTGCCATCCCTCAGGAGCTCGTTCCTGAGACCAAGCCACCCGTCGCCTGCCAGGCCGCAAACCTGCCAGGGGTCGCTTCAGAAGAGGCCGCGGTGTGTGCTGAAAGGAGCACAGGGAGGTCTCGTTGTGGGGGAGAGGAGGTGACGAGCGGTTAGGCTTTCGGAGAGAAGAGGAGACGGCTTCTTGGAAATGGCTCAGCTGGCTGGATTCGCTCGCTGCTGTGTGCTTTACCCTGCGTGGCTGAGCCCTCTCAGAGGAAGTGGGATCTGCTGGCGGGTTGCTTCTCAGGGCTAGGTGTTAGCGTTCTGCTTGACTTTTTTGTTGGAGGCTGAGTAGTTCTGTTAATACGGGTCTTGCTACCTTCATGGAAGCGGCACTTCTCTTGTGTGTGCTTTTCATCTGAAGTCAGCGGGGAGTGGAAACCTGTTTCTTTCGGTTTACTTTCTAGGTAGATGTGCTTGATCTTGATGTAGCCGACTGGATTTCGTGTACTCCGAAACCAGATGTTGCACAAATGTATACCCACTTAGATGAACGACTATCAAGCATACAGTAGTGCTGCTGTTACCAATTCATATTTTCTTACTGACAATGGCTCTGTGTTTGCCATTTTTACAAAAATAAAATGGAACAGCAATACAGTACTTGGTTAATCATATCCTGTGTGCTTCAGAAGAGTGACATTAATTTCTGGGACTCAATGTAAAGTAGCTTAAAGCTACTTACTTGCTTGACAGTAAAATAAATTAATGCTACTTCAGCTTGTGGCAGACAAATGTTTTTCGCTCCAGATCTGCATGAACTCAAAAAGACGTCTTTGTCAAAACATGGCTCATAGAAATGCACAGGTATACACTGGTTAGTAGGCTAGAGAGCCATTGCAATCAAAACAACTAATCAAAGTGTACTTCTTGAAAACCCTGTATTTCCATTCACTTCCCTCCCTTATTAAGGACTCTTTCTGGTTGGTTCATGTCAGTGCTTCACACATACCTAACAAAGGGTAAGAAGAGCTTTCTTACCATAATGACTGTTTTTCTTCTGCTTCCTTGATTTAAAAAAATTACGTAGTCTGTGTGTAATTCTGCATTTGGCAGCTTAATTCCTTTGCCAGTTTCTTGTTCCTGTAGATTTGGAGTAATACTGTTGGATGGAGTCCTTTGTAAACTTGAACTTCCAAAACTTCTGAAAGAGACAATGTAGCTAGACGTAGACTTGACTGAAGTTATTGCCGGAAAGATTTCTAATGGAGTTCATGTTGTCTTTGCCATCACTGAAAAATAGAATAATAAGTATACTTTCCAAGTAAGTATGTAATTCGCAATAGTAAGATATGGTAATCTGTATTTGTTCACCAATTTATTGATGGAAAAATATATTGGGTCCTGCAGAAGTCAACTGTCTTGCAGACAGTTTTATTTATATGGGCCATGATCCAACCTCTTTCATTTGGAAAGATTGCTGTCTAATTTAGTTGTCTTAAACTATCTCAGTTTATACTTTTTAGTATAAGTTTGAGCCATCTAAATTTGTAGTTTAGTAACAGAACTTAAACATTTGTTAAAATAATGAGAAGTTAATAGTAGAAGCTGTGCATCAAAAGATTTGAATTGTTTGGTTGGTGAATTAACCAAATGACAGTTAGCAAGATTTTACTGTATAGGCTGATATTAAGAAATTATACGTTTTGCAACATAACTCTCTTGAAAAGTCTACCTGACTGACTCTGGCTGAGTAAACTCTGACTCATTTTTACTATGCACTTTTTATCTATATTTGCATAAAATCATTTGGGCTGGATCATGACACAATATGAGCTGAGACAATAGTTGAGGTTTTGGTTTTTCCTTAGTTTTGTTTGTTTTGTGGCTTGAGCATTTGGAATTTCACAAGACACATAACTAAGACTGACAACAGATTTTCACGGGTAAGCACATGGTTGTGGCCAAGAAATAATGCAGCGCCATGCAAGTGAGACAATGAGCTGGTATATCTAAAAAGAAAGAAAAAGCTAACAAGTGAGTTTTACCAATATTCAAGTAATAGTGTTTGAAATGTAAAAACATGAAAATCTTCTGGCTTTTCTTTTTGGACCATCTTGGGCAATGTACTTAATCCAAAAAATTAAACACTAACAAAATGTGTTGGTTGTGTTTATTTTACTTCATGAGGAATATTTGCTCATGATAGATGAAAATGGCATGAAAATTTAGTTAGATACTCAAAGCAGCTGGAGATCATCACATAGTAGAGACTCATGCACAGCACAAGGTGAGAGAGTGCAAAGTATTTTATTTAACTTTCACTAGTAAATGCTGAAGTATAGTCTCCAGAAGCTTTGCTTTTAAATGTTTCTTTCTGGCCCATTTCCTTAATGTACTTAGATCATAAGATGAGGAATTTGATTTAACACTGACTGAACTGGAGCACAGTGGAACAGGCTGGAACTATTCAAATCCAAATGTGAGGGCTGAATGTCTAACTCCCAGAGTTTAACCTGGAACTCCAAGCTTATCCATTTTTCCTGTTAAAAAAAAAATCTGTACAAACGTGAAGTATTCTACCACACTGAAGAATTGACACTTGGAATAACAGGGACCTGGAAGACAGATGTCTATTGTCATTTCATGCATCTGTAAAAACCTGATTTTAATGAAAGTGTGTTTTTAAACAATCGCCTTTCAGGCTTCATGTAAAGTTTCATGAGTGTGCTAGAGCAGTGGCAAACACAAAAAGGGCATGCTGGGGGTCAGTAGCACTATTTGGAAGCCTGGAAGAAGCCCTTCTTGGTCGTTAAGAAAGATCGTGCAGTGCTAAGTGGTATTTCATAATCTGGAAGTTTAAGTTTTGAGAATAAGTAAATGGTAAGCATAGATAATAAGGAATAAGTACGGAATATGAGACTGTAACTTAGCATAATTGAGGCAACATTTAATAGGTAAAGTTGGCTGTAATGTGTTGTATCTTTTAAAATCAAAATGAATCTTTTTAACATCAGAAAATTGGTTCTTAATTCTGTAAATTCATCTGGTTTCAGTCACAATGCTAGAGTTCATTCTGGCTGCCCTGATTTAGGGGAAAGGAGTCCAGAGATGCAACTAAATGGTTAGAGATGCTGAAAATCAAGGGGCACGGAAAGATTTGGTCTGATTCCAAGGTTGGGCACAATGGGCACACAACAGTAACATAGGGGGGAAATAAAAGCTCCTCTATTTAAATAGATTAATTCCTCTAGGTTATTTAGGTTACTTAACATGTTATAAAGCTTTCTCCAATATTTTTGGTTGCATCTTGATGTTTTTTTCCAGGTATTAAATATTTAGGACTTCATGCTGATGGTGTCTCTTTTTTCAAAGGCTTACCTTCTGTGCCTTGCCAGTTAGCAAGCTGATTCCTGTAGGTCATTCTGGTATTTTGTCTGGCTCCTTAGAAGTTCTTAAAACACTTGAACTTTGAAAATTTTTCTGTGCATCACTTCTTGCCCCCAGTGTTGGTCTCGCTGCTTGGTAATAAGTCTTTACAGCCGTGGCAGTTCAGGACATGTTCTTTATAAAGATATAAGATGCAGGATTTCTGAGAATGGCTTTTCAGACAAGAGAGCTAATTTCCATGGCTAAATGTGGTAAAGACTAGGTATTCTTTGAAAAAGGGCAGTCGGGTAGGTTAGCTAGTGCCAAGATCAGGACGTCTCCTTGTCAACCACAGCATCTCTAGAGCCTTGCAGTTTGCCAGGATGGGCTGCACAGCTTTGCCTTGCTGAAGCTATCAGCTACAGTGTTTCCATTAAGCCTTCAGTCTTGTAAGTGTAGGTGCAGAGATGCTGGTTTTCTGTCTTAAGCCTTTAGCAGATAAACTAAATCTGAGTACTTGCTTCTGTACGATCTGCTGTTACAGCTCTGGCAGAGTGTTGTGTGACACATTTGACTGATTGCTGATGGGCGATAGCTGTGAGTTCACACTGCTCACGATTTATCATGCTGGACACTCGGACCCTTAGAAATGTCATGATCTTTGTGTTGTAAAACCTAATTTTTATATCTACTTTTCAGAAGATGTGTTTAAACAAATCCCAAACTGGGGTAATAGTCTCTTACTAGTAGAATTACTGATGAAAATGGCAGTTATCTGCTGTGGTTTTATATCTTCTATCCTGTGGTACGTGTGGAGGGGGGAAGAGACATCCGGATCCTGTTGAAGATCCTAATTTCCTCAGGTCTCTAACAACCCCAACGTAAGAGGCTATGTATGGAATAATGGGTCTTCTTTTGGGTCCCTCAGTACAGGAGGCATATTAACAAACTGGAGAGAGTCCAGCAGGAGACCGCTGTGATAGGTAGGGGCCAAAGTGTATCAGAAATGAATTCTTTGAACCTAATGAAGAACAGACAAAGGTGAGGGAAGCTAATCACTGGTTTTAGCTACTTAAAGAACAGAGCCAGGCTCTTCAAGAGTGCACAGCAAAACCAAAAGGTACAATCATAAATTGCAGCAAAGAGAACTGTAGGTGAACATCAAAAACCATCTTTTTAGACAATAAAAGTGGTTAAATTGTAGAACAGTTGGTTTAGAGAGGTTGAAAGTTTCCGCTGATGGCGATTACACAAAGCTTGTCTAGACAAGGCTTTGAGCAAGCTGACCTAAGTTACAAGTTGGCCCTGCTTCAAGCAGGGGGCTGGACTAGAGACCTCCCAAGGTACCTCCCAACCCAGGTCATTCTGTATTAACTGCTTTCTAGCAGCTGTTGGTAAACATTTTGTGCTCCATCTTTCTTTAAGTCTACAGGAATGACGTTTTTTGGTGAAGAAGGCAAGAGCACAGAGGTGCCAATTTATATCAGATTAAACAGTTAATGGGGCTGCACTGCAATAGCTGACTTCAGAAGACATTAGTGTAGTATTTAGTGCTTAATTCATAGAGCTGTAATGGCTACACACAGATTTTTCTTTTGGATTCAGCTGTGTCAGGCCATTCCAGGAAGATGTTACTGCAGTCAAGCTGTTCTGTAACTTATCTCTTGTGCTCAAAGCTGTGGCATCTTCTGATCTTCAGATGAACCTTTTCTGACCTGCTTCATTTCAGATCTGCAGGGATAACTGAGACAGGTAATCCAGGTCACAGGGTCTGACATTGGTCTGAACAAATCAGGCAAACAGCTCTCGTGGAGCCTTCAGAAGGACGGTGATGGAGGAGGCAGCATTTGCTGTTGCCATCTGTGCAACAAATGTTTCTGCACACTGTGTGACTGTTGGATGGCTGCCTGGCTGGTGTAGACTTGAATTCACCTCTGTAATCCTAACCTTATGCTTTTTAGCTCAGCTGGGTTCTTCTTTTTTTGGGTTAGGGAGTTGAATTTATGTTCATGTGAACAAATGATATAACATGTTTGATTCACTCTGGCTGGTTTTTGTTCTGCAAAACTTCCTTTTGAACTGTTTTGGTCTGTGTATGTTAAACAAAGTGAACACTGATCAGGCACTATCCATAATGTTTTAGCATTCCCTTATCATGATTACCAATGAAGTATTACCTTCTGTAAGTCTCAGAAATGGTTTAAATAATGTTTATGCAATTAAACTCTGCCAAGACACAATCTTCAACCTTGCAATATTCTTCTAATGTATTTAACTGGTAGAATTCATGAGTATCCTAAAATTACAGTTTAAAAGTGTATTTGATTAAATCACAAAGACTGATTGCTAAAAATGTCTTGCATATATCTGAGATTGACCAGTATTTGCCTCATGAAGCAGAGGTGTTTTTTGGTACGGTTTTATCATCTTTTGGTCTTCCTGAATCTGTGCTGTCTTAGTTGGTGATTGTTTCATGCAGCTGTATCTCTTGCCTGCAAAATTGTTTCAGTGATAACTGGATGTTGTACATACTTCCCCAGGTTCCTCTACTTGACACTTGTGTGCCATCTTTCCAGCTATAGTTTTTACAGTAGGATGACTGTGCATGTTGCCTGCTAAAATAATTGTGATATTGCACTAAGTGGTTGAAAAATGGAATTCAGGATTATTGATTTTACTGTAAGAGTGGGGTCTATCTTTAACTTTTCCAAGTCAGATATCCAGTCTAAGATAATGAACTCGGCAGCTCCAGAAGATAATTCATTCTCCTATTTCACACACATATTGGATGAAATAAACCTCCATGTGGGGAACTTTTTCTTGCTTCATTGTTTACAATGATAATTTGGATAATAAACTTAGCTAGGTGCCAAACTTTTAGACTGTTGAAAATTCTCCCTGACTTAATTGCTCTTAATGTCTCTTGGACAGATACTTACAACTGTGGTTGTGCTTATGTTGTTGTTTCAGATGGACCCTACTAGAATTTCAAAAGAACATGCACACTGTGTCAGAACACTTTTTGGACATCAAGAAAATACAGATTTGCATGATACATCCTTTGAAAATCAAGACGTGAAGTTAATGCCAGAATCATGTAGAAGCATGAAACAGGCTCTCCAAAGAGCTGTGCAGAAGGTAAGTGGCAGAGAGACTGTGTTCCTTTATTTTGTGCTCCTGTTGAACTTAGAATTTTTCCAACTTTTGTGTTTGGAGGTAAGTTCTAGAAGGTGTTTTCTCATGTTTGAATAATACCTGAAGTTACATCCAAGATCATATGGTGTTTGCTCATGGACCTGGTAGTGGTTAACCAATTCTGTATTCAATCACATTTTTACTTTCTTTTAAGAATGGAAGACTTGAATTTGCACTGAGAAAACTGATTGCATATAGTTGATTGGCCATCCTGACGTATGTATGGGCCTGATAATTTAGAATCATAGAATGGTTTGGGTTGGAAGGGACCTTAAAAGATCATCTAGTTCCAACCCCCTTGCCATGGGCAGGGACACCTTCCACTAGACCAGGTTGCTCAAAGCCTCATCCTAATATTTGTGTAGGTTTGCCAGCACTGGGGATGTTCATAAAAAAGTATGGTTCCACTTTGTTTTTTTAAAGCAGTCTTCCTGACAAAGTTCTCCCAGGTCAAGATCATCAACAAACAAAATGTTGCCTGAATGACAGGAGATGACATTTACTTGTTTCTTACTTTTTTTGCAACCCAAAATGAGGGATGGTGTCTCTTTTTTCTTTTTTTGCTCACTTTGTCAGTTCTCTGTTCTGTGCAGACCATTCCCACACTGGCAGAAGAGCTCCTTAACCCAAGCATGGTAACCAAGCAGTCTTTGCCCAGCAGCTGAGAATAGCAGCTTGCTTCCCAGCACAAGTAACAGTAGTCATCTAAAGAAGTCAGCCCCAATGAAAAAGCCTAGGCAAGCTGCATATATGTCACGATCAACTCTTACTGCCATTACTGCCTCTTTGCATGTTCATGATAGTGTTTAGTGCTAATTATGGGCAATTTAAAAGCTGAATGTCTGCTATGGTATTTGGTTTTCCTGGCTTACTAGGTCCATTTCCACTACTTCATATCTGTGTAAGACTGATGGTCCTTCATAAAGGATGCTACATTAGATCTGAGCTGAACTAGTGTTCACACTTTGTAGAGTGAATTGTACTTGGATTAATTGTGTGGTACTCTAATTCTGTTAATGCTTGTTTTAATGGAGTACCCTGAGTGACAGATCCTAAAGAAACCTAGAAGTTCATGTCTTGTCCAATTTCCTAGCCACCTCCTTGAAAAGCTTAAGGAAAAAAATAGGGTTAACTCTGTAGGATTAGTTCTTCCTCTCAGTGTTTTATAGACTGTCTCACACTACACCTACTTGTGTGTTCTGTGTGCTGGTACTAGGCTGCTTGTTCATGCAGCTCCCGTGACAGAGTTAAGGAGCTTGTTACAGTAAGTGAATGGGAAGCCCTGTATTCTGGTCATTTGCTGCTGGTTACTCAACAAAGGCATTGGCTTTAGTTGAGGCTGCATATCCTGCCATTCTGGATGGAGGTTAGATGCTGCAATGTCCGTGGCCAGGATAAGTAGTGAGTAGGGATAACGTTTTTGGCTGATGACCATTAGTATGAGAACAATAAAATTTCTCTTGCCAAAGTAATCAGACTCTCAATTTCATTTGAATGCAACAGGATGTGTTAAGCAGCTGTGTCAGTGTTCTGGATGCTTTGTCATCATATATTGATGACACAATGTAAAATTAAGATAGGAAAATGCTTGCCTGGGGCTGCATTTGCACCTGTTTATTGTATACGAGAAGTGAAAGGAATAATGTTAAGGCAAAATTACACTTTATCAGGTTCTGTAAGCTGTGCCTTTCATGAGGGGCAGAGGTGCCGCTGAATCTTACTTCCAGTTGTGCCAGTCCTTTAGGTGTGGGAATGCAACTAAGGTGACTTGAAAGAGGTTTCCTATCTTCTGTGCTTCCTTCACTTCCCTGAAGGAGAATCTAGACTGTGTGTGGTTTAAGAACCAGTATACTTATTTGAATGAGCAGCATGTTAAGTGACTGAAATGGAACACTTTAAAATACCGTTTAGGTTTTGTGATTTTTTTCAATATTTTGTCTTTTGCATTCAAGCTGTTCAGGAAATGAAAATAGACAGCTTGCTTCTGCGCAGGTTTATGGTCTGGTTACATCCTTATAGCTTACTGCACTGATTCTCATCTGTTTTCTTTGCACACCTGTAGACCTAGTGCTTAAATCTAAAGCAGGGATTGATATTGAAAATGAAAGTGCTCTTATGAAAACCAGTGTAGTAGGGCTGCAAGGTCACGTCTATAAAAAATTCCTCCTGAAAGAAAAAAAAACCCACAACTTTCTTGTAATTAAAATCTAATGGTGAATTCCTTAAAATATTCCAGGATAAATATACTGCTTAGGGAGCAGTTTACTCAGTAGAAAGCACATTTTCAATATTATTGCATATAAACTTTCAAGCAGACAAATAATATACTTTCCTAGTGTGTTTGCTTAGTTTTTTTTGCATGTAACCCTAAAACCCTTTTGGCAGTCCAGATGCACTAACCACAGCTCTTGTGAAGTCTGCTATGAACCCAAAGTGGAAAGGCGTGCAGACATATCTTGGGTCAATCCATAAGTAACTTTTTTTTGGCAATACTCCCAACCTCTAGCAGCTGGGGGAGTTCAGGCATAAACTAGTCTCCCACATGGCAACACAGTACTTTGCTAGACCTCCAGGGCAGCACTTAGAGAGATCTATAAACTCAGGAGACATTTAAAGTGCATGTCGTTATGGACAAAGTCAAGGTTTCACGGGTGATTGCTGTAGTTGTTAAAATTTCAGTTTCCATCCTACAACCTTACATGCCTTTTTTTCTGCAGGCAATAGACTACTCATTTGGATAGGGGTTGTTCTCTGAACTGTCTTCTGATGAATACTGGTTCATGTGCTTTCTGTTTCACTTCCTGATTAGCATTCATCAAATTGCTGAACTTCCGGCAAGATAATCAGATATTTCTTCCCGGTATTAGCTGGACTTAAAGCACTCAGGTAGAAGAAACAACTGCATAAAGGAGCTTTAAGATCACAAATGAAGCAAGACATGAATGTCCAGTGGGATTCTCTTCTGATTGGTCTCAAAAGGCAACTTAGCTTAAACTAGATACTGAGATATTGTAAAAGCCAAAGGAGAGGAAAAACCTTTCACAAGTGTCACATGCTCAAATGTAGCCTTGTCTCTGCATCCTGAACACTGGACATAAATTGGAAGAGCAGGAGTTGGTTTTGTTTTGAAGGCGCTGAGATGCTAAAGGTTAAAGGTTGCAGCCTTCCATGGGTGAGGAAAGAGCAGTTCCAGGCACTTAAATCATGATTTTAGCTGTTAAAATGTGAAAGTTTTGCACAGCTTCCCAATAGCTGCTTTTTTTTTTTTTTGTTCGAGGAAGACACATTTTTCAATTTTGTGACTGGCTGCTTGTCTGTTTAGACAGTGACTGTATAAAGGAGGTTGGAATGTGGGAAGAAGGCCAGCAGAGTTGACTTGATGGGACAGTGGGCAGATGATGCAAAGGTGTAGAAGTACAGTGTATCGTAAAACTAACAGTGGTGTGATAGATGTATACATCTGTCCTACAAGTAACTCGACAGCTTGGTAGCGCATGTAGTTCTGTGGGTGAAAGTCTCAAGAGAAGTCACTGGTAATACTTTGTCAGCAGTTCTGATGCCATTATAGGAGTGTCTTAGTGACAGGTTCTGTTGAGCTAATTCTACATTCTTAGCAGTAGCGTACGTTGTGATTTGGTATGAGATGTTTAAAGACATTCAGGTGCTAAAGAATGCAGTTGGTACTTTAAAGATTTGGAAAATTCTAGCTCTTAATTCCTTGCAGTAAAGATACCAGGTGAATTTTATAGTCTGTATAATTCCATAATCTTTAGACTTCTGTACCTCTTCAGACATCCACTGAAAAATGTGGTTCTTGAGTCATTCAGGGTCAGAAGGAAGTACAAGCTGAAATGCTTTTCTAAGGCAGGTTGTGTGTCAGCACCTTGGAGCTGTAGAAACATGAAGTGAAAAGTCAAGAGAAGTGTTGAAGTACTTCAGGAGGAGAGCCACAGCTCCATCTCTGTTACCTATGGACTAATTAATGTATTTCAGCATCCTTTTGGAAGCCTGGGCAACAGAACAGAAAGAAAAGTAAAAATTTTGTGAGGCTGGTCAGATCAAGTAAAGAACTTGACACTAGTCCAGTGTTTGCAGAACTCAGCTGATGAAGTATTCCTGTTTTCTGGCCACAGGCTAGCCACTTCTAATCCAATGACAAGCACACAGGAGAGTCTGTGAACATGAGCCAGTCTCCACTCAGTGTGTTAGTGTTGGGCTCCTGCTTATCTCCCTTTTGTTGTAATGACACTCGCATTCCTAACTGCAGAGTAGCACAGCTTCAAGAGTGCAAGAGAGGGAGATGCTCCTAGGAAACAGGAAAGTAGGCTCAAGACCATCAGGACAAGAAGAGTTGTGGACCCAAGTTTTCCTGGGTGGCCGTTGTGCTTCCCAAGGGGTGATGCTGCAGATGAGCAGCGCCACCAACAGTCAGAAAGCAAGCAGCTCAGACTGCCTTTCATGGGGACCATAGCCTTTCTGCAAGGAAAATCAGCTGAGTCAGGCTGCTGGGTCTCAGACAGTGAGGTACCCTGCTGCTCAAGCTAGAGCATCTTTGGAAGTGTGCAGAAGCAGAGCTCTAGACTCCTAAGGAAAATGTAGATTAAGAGGAGGATAGCAATTGAGCAGTTTGGGGACTTTAATGGCTGTGCAGTTACTAATGATAGGATTTTTTTAGGACTAGTTTAGATAATAGGAGATTAAAATGTACATAGCTCTTTTTGAATCTGCTCAGTAGGCTTTCCAGGCCTACATTGTCACATCCTCTAGAAGGAAAGGATACGAAAGCAGACTCCACAAAGCAGATGCTATATTTTAGAAGTTTCTATTAAGAAAGCAAGAAAACAAATGAGCCTCCCCTTTCTAGGGAAAGGATTGGAAGTAGGTGTGGTGCTGTAATCTGAATTTTTGGTCCATCTCCCAGTCTCTTTTGCCTTATATCCTGTTCTCTTCAGAAGCTTTTGCCACTTTTCGTGGTATCTAGTACTTGCAATGTTTTGTTGTCTTCCTACTTCTGATGAAGTTAAAGAGCTCGTGTGGCTAGAGGCCAATGTTAGTGTGCAGCTCCAAGAATTGAGCTTCATTTTTGTGCTCCTAGAACTGACATTGAAGTAGGAAGATCAGAGAGGGGAAGTGAATGTAAATGGGGGAGGTGGACATGAGTTTTACTTCTTTTGAAGTTGCAATTCTTCTGCTTTTCTTCTCGTCTCTACAGCAGAAAGCATCTTAATGATTCTTATCTTCAAAATCAACATATCTCTGCTGAAGTATTACGCTTTGATAGTCATACTACAACTTCCATACTGCTGTGGCTTTTCATTTTGGTTTAACATTTAAACATCTACTGAAAGGGGAAAGTGAGAGTAATGCATGCATGGGCTAAGTTGCTACAGATTTCACTGGCTGCAAAATTACATAAAAGCGGGACTTCAGGTGTTTTCAAAGCCAGACTTAGTTTTAAAACACCGCAGTGATTGAGAACACAGTGGAACATTGCTGATCTGGCCAAATCTGAGGTGTATTGCAGATACATGGTATTGAATCAGATGACCAGCAATATGTGTGACATAAAACCAAAACCACAGGACCATTCTTAGGTTTCAAAGATGAGATATGATTTGCTATCTTCAGCAAAATGTTTCCTTTTACTACACATCTTCAAGATGATTCCACAGTATGAGGTATTCTGAATAACAAGTAGGATATTACCCAGTTTTTAGAAAGCTGAGATGAAGAGGGGTGAGCAGGGGACAGAACTGAAGACTGAACCTAATATTACCAAGACTCACACCAGGCTTGTAACAAGAACAGGCTGCTTAGATTTTTTGAAAAGTGTTGTCTGTATGTTTTCTCAAGAGGGAGGACAGATGTGGATTATTAAAAGCAAGATTCTTTGTGATGCCTGATGTCTGTTACTTCTGCTGTTCTTGGTTTTGGGTAACATGGCCTTCACTCATGTTAAAATTCATCTGCAGTTTTGAAGAATGCATGCTTCCAAACTCTGGCAACCAGTCCATTTGGCCCAGTACAGTTATGGAAGATGCTTAATCCCTCATTAAAAGTGAGCCCTGATTATAAAGCTTTGTAGTCTTGCAACTCCTCTCTTTGTGGTCAAGTGTGAGGGGTGGAGGTTTTTCTTTACTTCATCATAAATGAAATTGGGAGCTTAGCTTTCCTTAGTTGTTAGTGTGCTTACACACTAGTTCCTATGTAGAATTGCCTCTTTCATTACCTTTTGACCCCAAGTAATTAAATGAGTTCATAAACTGTTTTATGTGATGCATTCTTGGCAGTCATTGTTCCATTATACTTAGAGAAATATCCCAAGTGCACTAAGTAGGAAAGGTTGTAAATGTCCCATCACCAGTACTTTATTAAATAGTGCAGTGACAGTACACACCATCATTCCCATCCACCTTTGTCAGAAGTATGGGACAGAGGAAGTAATTTGGTTGTGGCAGCTAAAGTGTGTGTTCATATCCTACATCATGTAAATATGAGAATGTGTATGGCAGGCATCTGAATAAGTATAGGTAGAACCACCCCCCACATATACACAGAGGATACTGTGTTGTAGTTGTGCAAACTACCTGCAATACACAATATTACAAAAACAAGACAACATTAAAGCAAAGGCTCTTTCTCATTTCAGGAAGTCCATCGTGTCATTGGGAGAGCACCACCAAGACCAGAAAAAGGTACGTGCCAGTTTATGAATAAGAAATCCTACAGTTCTACTACACTTATCTTTCTGAGGTAATGCATTTCTTTTATCTCTAGCTGCAATGGAGGCATTGGGAATGGATCTGTACAAGAGAAACAAACCCGAGAAGCAGCCTTTTGCTCATCTCATTATTGATGATAAGAATATTCCATCTGGTAAGTTCAGTTTTAAGTGAATACTTCCAAGTGTTAGTATAAATGTATTGAACAGTGAAGTGTATATAAAAAATAGTACAGATTCCGAAATAGCTTTTTATGATAACAATAAATTGGACACATTAAAGGATTTCAGAGGCAGCAGAGGTAATGTTAACAGGAAGATAGCTTCCCTTTGTCTTGGGTATCTTGCATCAATCTGTTATGTGCTGAATGACCAGTTTTCACGATTAAGATCTGAGGGCTTGACCAGCCCTTTTGTGCTGTCTTCAGGTGAGGAATGGAAATACTCACTGAATGCTGTCCTTCTAAGTGTCTTTTTTTCTTTGGCTAGTGTGGCCCATCTGGAGTTCTTCACTCAAACTAGACATCAGCTGTAGGTATACGTACACGCAGAGACGTATGCATACATACACACATACAAGGATACACCAGCAAAAAGGCTGGCCAGAGTTGGGATTTTGCAGACTGGAAGATGCTTCCAATCCATTGAGTCTAGGGTTTTTATTTGTCCTGTTGTCAGATGAAGTAATGTTCTGGTTTCTGTTGTAAAATTAAAGAATGTCTTATGTCTATCTAGTCAACCCTTCACAGCGACACTCCTTGTGTGTGCTGAAATGTAATTGGGTCTATACTGGGTGACACAGCATTTGTCTTCAGGGTGGGTTTGGAAGCTGAGAATCTTAAATGAATGCACAACACACATGCGTGTCAGGTGCCTGTCAGAGTAAGAACTTGCCATAAAGGAAACACATCTTTCATTCTGAGCTGTTGAAAACCTGGAACTTCAGTCCCAATGTCCAACTTGTACCCTGTCTTCTGTGGGTACACTGCACTCATCGCATAGGGCTGAATTTACTTCTAATGGTATGTTGAAAAGGTTTTGTCATATTCCATTCTTTATGTTGCAGGACTGGTGTAGACTCTTTCACATCAAGACTACCAGGGCCTTCCTGACATTCAGTCATGCAAAAGCTACACAAGGGTCTGTCTGCATCCATCTAGTCTAGCAGCAAGGAGATCAAAGGTCATACGTAGCATTGTACTCTGAGCAACATGGTTTCTGGTCAGTGTGTTGACTTGGATGCAGTATGTTTCTGAGCTATTGAGTAGGGGGAAAAAAATGTTCCTGTGGCTTTTACCTGCCCCTGTGGTAAGAGGATGGCATTATTTTATCTTGCTAGAACACTTATTCTCTACCCACAGATGTCTTTGGATGGCTTTGAGAATATACTTGCTGGTACAATATGAGGGAACAAGACATGAGTCTGCCTTGTAACACTCTCCTGAGAAAAAGATTCATTCCTACAATTTTAAGATATCTTAGTACTGTTTCCTTTTTTTTGCCCTGGGGCACTGGCAGTTGAGGTTTTTATCTCTGTATTCTCAACACAACAATCATCATTGGTCTGGTAGAAGTAAACCAGAAATTATTCTGAAGCTATCAGACAGGATCTCAAGATAGGAGGAGGCATTGATCACTGTCTCCTTCTGCAGATGTATACATTCTGCAGTGCTGAACTTGTTAATTAAGCTATGTGCATTGCTTTCCTCTTTTATATAACCAAACCAAAGGGGAATACTGTGTTGAGGCTTGAAATCTGAGATTTCAGCAGTCTGCATAGGAATACCTTGCTCTTGCTCTATTTAAAGACAAAACACTTCTGTACACAAGGGGTTAGCTTCTTGCCTGGAGGGATAGAATTTTCTCTCTTCAAGTGTATTAGCATTGCCCATATCCAGAGCTTTATAAGCACAGAGCTTAAGCAACTTGTCATATGGTAGTCAGAACTTCTACAAGCTTTCTATTTGTTCAAGTGCCTCCTGACAAGCTTCTATTTCAGTTAGATTTTGGCTTTTTACATAAGTCAATAGTAGAAGATGCAGCATCGGTAAACTTGTCTTAGCATTTTGTCTTTGGAAAGGTTCAATTAATTTGCCAATCATAGAGGCAGATCACATTGACACACTCCACTTCTGTTGGTCTGTGTCACACCTTGTGAAATACACCTTTTCCTGTGGGAAATTTATTTGCTGTCTGCCTGGATGTTGCTGTAAACTTTATTTTTTATCAGGACTAGCAGCTGATAATTTTAACTGTTGTGCATCACTGCATTAACCTTCTTAGGAGTGACATAGCACATCTGTGGGTAATGGCAAGGGAGGTGTTGCTCTTGCTTGCTCTCTTCACTTTTCCTGCAGCCTGTGCTATTAAAAAAACCTCTCAAATACGGTGCCTGGGACAACAAGCTGCTTTGTTTCTTCTTGGGGCAGATCAAGCCATTACCAATGCGATGAGTTGGACATGCTACCTCCTGACATATGGCTTCTGCCTCCTCTGGAAAATCATGAGCACAGCTGCTGTGGTCCTTCTGGTCCTTGCAGCGGTGACGGGCTGCATCCTTATGGGTAGCTAGAACCCTGAACCTGCTGTTCAGTTGTGAGGCACTTCAGTATCATACCCACTGGTATGAGGCAGTGCCCACTTGGCTGAGTGGCACAGAGGTTAATAACAGGCATAAAGGATGAAGAATTTACCTGAGAGTCACCAGAATTATTTTTTCTCCTATCCTGTTTCTTCTGACTGCAAATGGCAAATTCTATTTTCTTCCCCTGATCCTTACCCTACATGTCTGAAATCCTTCTGAATTGTTCTATGCCATCCATGAGTCTGGACAGATCTGTTATTAGCATTTTAATTTTTGCTACTGTCATCTCTCTGACACAAAATAAACAATGTCTGGAAAAAAACCCATCAGTCTTCATCACTGTCAAACAGGATTTTAAGTAGTTTGCCACTGAACACCCTTCATGAATGGGCACTGAGCAGTGTCTGTGAGGGAACATTTTTCCTTCACTTGGTTCCTAATAATACCAAGCCCCAGATGAACTTTTGCAGCTGGGAGGAGTGCAAGGGAGGGGAAAAATAACCCTTCCCAGATCTTGGTATCTCCACCCATCAATTGGCTGCAGGAGCCTTAGTGGTTTGGCTTGCTGTGTGTATTTTTCAGGTTTGCTGCCTTAGGTTAAAGCTGGATGCTTGTTGGTTGCTTTTTACCAGAGCTCACTATAAATGTTACCTAGGTTCTAAATGAAAACAGTGAATTTTGGTTTATAAATTGATTACAGAAACTAGTCACAGTTTAAAGGAGAAAATTGCAAACAGAAATAAGTGTAAATGTTAAATATATCATTTGGGACATGAATTGATACCTTGAGCTGTCTAAGGAAGCACTGTAGTATTCTGAGCTATTTACAGCTACAGGTTTGGCTGAGCTGCCTTTTGCCTCCAGAAACAGTTTTTCAGAGCAAACAGTGCTTTAGTCCTTCTGTCAGGCTTTATTTATACCTGAAAGCTACTAGAATGCACACAAGTTGTCAGCACAGGACTACTTTCTCCTCCCATCGTCTTCCTTCTTACTAATTCATTTTATTGAAGCTCATTTGTATTAGTCTTGGTTTGTGCTCACAAATATCTTTGAGATAACTGAAGATTTGTCTTCAGTTACCAGAAAGACTGTGTATATTATCTTGACTTTTTTTTAATAATGCTTTTTACCATGTCTGGAAGGTTATCTTACCCATTATCTCTCCAACCTCTTCCTTCTGTCAACATGACTTGCCTTATGCTATTTTTTTTCATGGCTCCATAGTAAATTTTAGCACAGAAAATACTGTATTACAGCATTTCTGACTGTCCCATGACTTGGGTTGTTTCAGTGTTTGTGATTTGGCACTCTGTATGCTCCAGTTTTCTGCTCTGTGTTTTGGGGTACTGATTGTTTTCGTGTCCGCAAATTTCGGCGTATTACCACCAGAAGTGCTGAGCGCGTTCTTGCTCCTTCCATTAAAGGTTGCCTGGCATAACTCCTACCAATGCACTTTTGCGCTGTGCTGCTGGCTGTGGCATGCCTCTTCCGAAACTGAATCGTGGCACAATGCCCATCTACCTCAGTTAATACAATTCTAGTAATTGTTATTAGCAATTAATTTAAGTTGGAAAGGACTTCCAGAAGTTATCGAGGCTAATTCCCTGCTCAAAACAGACAGAGTCTTCTTCCATCATCTGCTATCAACTGTGGCACCTATTTTCTCTCTTCCCCTTTCTTCAGCAGAGAATCGTGCATTCCCACTAATGACTTCTTTAAAATTGCTTCTGGATTAAGACTGGCAACTGAAAAGTTTACTTGCCAGGTAAACAGAATCTGCCTAGCAGCTGCCACCAGTCGGCCACAGCATGCCTTTCTGGTCTATCGTTTGTATACATTTGTGTCCTGTATCTCTGATGCCTTTTCTCTGATCCAAGCAGCAATTTCTTCCCTATCCTTCTCATCCTGAAGGTAGGCCAACCACCTTGTGGCAGTATTTCTAGCAGACCTAACACTGTGCATAAGAAGTTCTACAACTTTCTCACCTATCCCCAGTGCTTCAGAGGGGTACTCTGGTACCCCTGCTTCAGCATCTCCTGAACGTGAATAGAATCCAGGCTAAGGGACTTAAGATCTTAGTTTGGATTCCCATTAATTGGTGGGTTTCAGAGGGTTTTTTTGAGGCACTGCAGAGGAGATGGCTTCTCTATTTGATTTTGCCTGTGTAATTTCCACCTGGCTGCACTGGAGCCATAGGGAACAGCTATTTATGATGTGCCTTTGACAGCCTGTGCTTTGCTCAAGTCTTTGTGGAAGAATGCCAGAAGCTTTTTGTTCTGGACTACTACTGAAGTATTCCTCTCACATGCAGAAGTGGCTTGTCCTTGGCAGTTAGGAAAGACTCATAGCTCTCCAATTCTTCTGTCCCTACTTCCCCTCACATCATTCTGCACAAACAAATCCATCAGGCATCTTTTTGATTAATCAGATATACCTGAGACTCTTCCCCAGCGTGCTTGTGAGCACTGGTGGTTCTGCCTTGCTACAGGCTTGGAGGAGAGGGTAATGGGTCCTGCCATAGGCCGTGGAAATTTTGGTGGGAATAGATTGCTTTGGTTTGATGTTGGGAGAACAATGTACTGAATATTCCAAGCAGGCATTTGAATGCACTGGGGGCCTAAGATGTACGGTCCTCTGGTGCCTGTGTGGAGCCAGCACTGTGGGTGCATCAGAAGGGAGCACACGGAGTTAGCCTTGTGTGCTGAAAATTGCTAGTGGTTAGGAGGACAAGTTGGCCAGCTCTCATCTGTTGTGTATTACATTGAAGTAGTGTTACTGGCTTGTGCCTGTCGGGAAGGGTCAGGGCCTGTCTGCCTTTCTCAGGACAGTGCTGTTTCTTCTGTATGGGCCTTGGCTGTATCTTCTCCCACTGTTGCCTATTCCTCTGTTTTTGCAGGCAGAGGCTGTAAGACGAGGTGGGTGATATAATTGGGTGGTGGTGAAGCTGGGGTGGTGGAAAGGACTGAGATGTGTGCTGCAAGGCATGCTACTCCGTGGAATATACTGTGATAAACCTCTACATACTGCACATGCTGTAGTAGCCATGCCATCTGGGCTGGTGTTGCTGGCTAATTCTGAACACTGCCACCAAAACCAACCTGAAGTGTCAAATCTGACCAGGTGTGGAAGGAAGACTCAAATGCTCTCTCAGTCCCTTTCTGACCTCCTACCAGGCCATATCTCAGCACAGCCCTAGTGGTAGAATCATAGAATCTCTTGAGTTGGAAGGGACCCATAAGGATCAGAGAGTCCAACTCCCTGCTCCTCGCAGGACTGCCTAAAACTGAACCATATGATTAAGAGTATTGTTCGTAGCTCCTTGACAGACTTGGTGTTGTGACCACTTCCCTGGGGACCCTGTTCCAGTGACTGACCACCCTCTTAGTGAAGAGCCTTTTCCTGATATCCAGGATCTACATGGGGGTTTAGATTAGATATCAGGAAGAAATTCTTCCCGGAGAGGGTGGTGAGGCACTGGAACAGGTTGCCCAGAGAAGCTGTGGATGCCCCCTCCCTGGATGTCTTCAAGGCCAGGCTGGATGTGGCTTTGAGCAACCTGGGCTAGTGGAAGGTGTCCCTGCCCATGGCAGGGGGGGTTGGAACTGGATGGTCTTTAAGGTCCCTTCCAACCCAAACCATTCTGTGGTTCTATGAATGACATCTGAGGTTGGAGCAGCTTAAAACCTCCAAGAGGTGACAGTGTGGATACTTGATGGTAGCCTCCAGGAGGTGCCTTTCAGGGCAGAGTTCCTGGGGGAGGTTGCTACCTCTATATGTGGTTTGCTTTCAGTGATGGTGCTGAGCTGACAAACTAATCACATCATCTCCAGGCTCTGAGCTCCTTTTTGTTCTCTTCACAGAGCATTGTCACCTTAACAGATAAGGGACAGCTTCCTGTTTACTAGGCCACCCTCATGCAGGGAGAACTGAAAAGGCTCAGGTGTACCTGTTAGCAGGAATTCAAAATGCTTGTTTACATATGTTAATTCTATTAAACTGTCCTTTTTGGTTGTCAGGCTTGGTAACTGTTATACATGTGTTTTGAGTCTCACATGCATGAGGTTATGGAGACACAGAAAATATTATGATGATTTTTTTTCCTAATTTGTGGATCTTCAGCTTAAGACAAGTTCAAGGGGACTGTTATCCTCCAAGTGTGGAGTATCAGGTCATTGTTTCTAGTTTGAAACTTGAGACTTTAAAATAAAAATAAGAAAATAAAAAAAACCCCAAACATCCTGAATTGCATCTGTCTTCCTAAAGCTCTTTTCCCAAGACCTTCCAGTAAATATTAAACAAGTAATCTCAGTTTACCTCCCAAATAGCTGCAATGCCCCAGCTATAGGTATTTGTACAATTACCAAAGAATTAGGCTTGTGCCGTGGGAGCACTATCCTAGATATCGAAAATGTGACTGAGCTAGATTGTGGAGCCTTGTTGTGGCATAAGCAAGCTCTAGGTTACGTCTAAACATTGGTCTTCCATAAAAAGGTTTGTTATGTCATAAATACTTGAAGTATTATCGAAAGTCTAAGCAACTTATGTGTAGTAATGAAGATGCACAATTGTACTGGCTTTTTTCCCCCCATATTTTGTGTGTTTTCCAATGAAAATGTTTACCTTTTGTACCACTACAGTCACATGAACATGGGAAGGTTTCAATTTAACTTGGTTTTAGATATTGGTTGGTTATTCCTTGCAAACACTTACAGATTAAAGACTGGTAACAAGGTTTGCTGGGTTTTCATTAGTGACTTTTTCAAATTCCTCTCAAGTATTTGTTACTTGAATAGTGCTTTAGGTGGAACGCAATTTCTATACGGACCTTGTTGCATGATCATAGAACCACAGAATGGTTTGGGTTGGAAGGGACCTGAAAGACCATCTAGTTCCAACCCCCCTGCCATGGGCAGGGACACCTTCCACTAGACCAGGTTGCTCAAAGCCTCATCCAACCTGGCCTTGAACACTCCCAGGGATGGGGCATCCACAGCTTCTCTGGGCAACCTCTTCCAGTGCCTCACCACCCTCTGTGTGGAGAACTTCTGCCTGATGATAGCTTGGAGTAATCAAAGTATTGGCCAAGCAAATGTTTTGTACCATGGTCCAGCAGCTCTTCTGGTGGGAGGGCAGACGGTTACAAAGAAGGAGCCAAATATGGCAGTACACGATGAAAAAAGGAAATTTCTTATGGATTTTTATTATCTTTGTCCAATATTAGATTTAGCCTATATACCTGTAGCTCCTATTGGTTCTAAGAACCCAGAGATTGCTTTATAAATGTTGAATTTTGTGAAATGTTTATAAATAATAAATTTTTTCTCCCTTCTCTTCAGGAACTCGGAAAGTGAACCTCACATCCTGGCATCATGACAAAGGCCAGGCCAACTTATCAAATATGACGTTCAGTGATGGAAAGCTAATTGTTAAACAAGATGGATTTTACTACCTTTATGCCAACATTTGTTTCAGACATCATGAAACTTCAGGAAACCTGACTAAGAGAGGGCTTCAGCTGATGGTGTACATGACTAAGACAAACCTTAAAATAAGGCGCTCTGATGTGTTGATGAAGGGAGGAAGCACCAAATACTGGTCGGGGAATTCTGAATTTCATTTCTATTCTGTAAATGTGGGAGGGTTTTTTAAATTAAAATCTGGTGAAATGATAAGCATCCAGGTATCAAACCCATTGCTACTGGATTCATCACAAGAAGCAACTTATTTTGGGGCCTTTAAAGTAAGGGATTTAGACTGAATATTTCTTTAGCAGGCTGAACATTTTTTGGGTTTTTAGTGGTCCAGAAACAACCTGAAGACAACTGAAAATCTTTTGCAACCCGGTTGCATCTGTATAAGCCATATCTTTCCAAAGTCTCATTTTTGCCCCGTGCTGATTCCAGCAGGAGCACCGCAGATCTGCAAAAGAGCAAAATTACCTACTTAGCTCTCCCAATTCGGTCTTACAGCAGCTTTACATCATATGTCTCCACGGGCTTCAGTAGAGTCATTCTGACTTTTACATTTGGGGTACTCAAAATAAGAACCATTAATATTCATGAACTTAAGTTTCCAAGTTCTGCCCTGGCTTTTTAACCTGTGCTACTTTTACCAGGTTGGGCACAAACATATGGCAGGACAGAACTCGGCTCCCAAATTGCTTTTAGGACTTAGTTTTGCTTGGGGGTTGAATGTTCTGACCCTGAGACAGCAAAGATTGTGAAAGTATGACTAATCCCTTTGCATTTGATGTGGCTTTTCACAGTTAAGTCTTAACTAGCTCCTCATTAAGCCTGTTCTTGCTTTGCTGGATTAGGGTTGGAGAGCTCAGGCTGGGGCAGAAATGAGTTGCAGAACACCTAAGCATTTCAACTTCAGTTTTTACCTGATTAAAAGGGCTGTTCCAGGAAGAAGAGGAAGATCATCTGGCCTTGCAGTTCTAAAAGGTTAATTACAGGTCATTTTTATTATTGTTGCACAGCTAATTGCAAATATAGACTGCCAAAATACTGTGTGCCTTTAAAGTATTACGTTGTGCCAGAATCTGCAAAGACATTTTTTAGACAAAAAGTATGTATTTTTATATTCTGTGATATCTAAAGTTATATTTCAGGTGTAATGTTTTGTGTAAAAAAAGAAAAAAAATAAATAAATGTAAATTATATTGTCCTATAGTATTTGATAGAAAATATTTAAAATCTCTTGCTGTTTGTATATTTAATGTTTTAAACTGTTTCTAATGTACAGACATGTTAAACTGGTGCACTTTTTAATCCCAATGGGAAAAATTGCAGCTAAACGAGGTTGTTTGCAATTAGCAAATGTAATATATATCTTTTGTTCTTTTTAACTTAATAGATTTCTGTTAAACTTGTCAGTATTCTTGGGGGAAGGGGGAAATCATGCCGATATCATGAATAATTGCACCAGAATGCTGGTCACTGGGTGCCTTTCAAACCTGGAGGGAAATTGACGTTACAAAGCTGGCATTACCTTAAAAAAAGAAAATAATTAATACATAATAAGCCACAGAAATGTATTAGGGGTATTTATAGTTATTGAACAGGCATATTTTCCTACAAAACCTGCAAGTTGTAAATTCTGCAATTGAGTAATGACTTGTTTTTTAGCTTAGTTTCCTGAAAAAGTGAAGCTGATGTCAGTGCGTTGCCTGTCCTTGTCTCCCCTTCTGGCTTTTAAACCTCTGCTCGCTTCTGCCAGGTGGGGCAGGTAGATGGCAGCGCTAAGAGATGCTCGTACGGGTTTTAGGAGAAGAGAGAGCTGAGAACACCTCAGCCGTCACGCGTTATTCGTCAGTGGCTGGCCACTGTTCCTATTAGCCAACGGATGAACGCGGGGAGGCTCCTAGCTGGCTGCAGCACGTTGTTGTCACTTGTGCAGTTGCTTGGCCAAGGGGTGTAGGTGGATGGAAGCTGAGGGGGGGGCGTATGGGGGAGGTAGAAGGCCGCTGCAAATACTAGGGGTGATGTTTAGAGCGCATCGGGGCAGGTAACAGCCTAAGAAAAGGGAGGTTTGAGGAGCATTTGTCCGAGTGCTCTAAGGATGATGTGGGGAAAACCTGCTCTGTAATGTGGTAGGAATCGGAAAGCAGGAGAATCTGTAGGAATTTAGGCTTCATACAAATCCTCAGGCTTTTTTTTTTTTTTTTTATAAGGAACTGAGTTGAATTCAAGCAATTATTTTATACTGTATAATAAACATTTCTTTTTAATGTTAACATTGTTTTCTTACAAAATATATTTCTAAGAAAAAAAATCAACTTTGTGATTCCTTTATTTTCCCATGTCCCTGCATTTCTTGTGCAGCTTTGATCATTTTGTTCAGATTGCAGAACATGCAGGCTGGGTACAGTGTAACTCGCTCAAGAAAACCGAGGCACAACTTGAATGTTTTGAGACAACTGCAATGGATTTCATGGAGTTTTGATTTGGCTCCCAACATGCATCCACCACTTGAGCAGGGTTACATCATCAGGGGTAGGAAATCTTCCTGGAAATGTTTTATACCAAACAGTTGTCAGTTCAAAACCAGGAATGACTGAGGAAGCACAGAATGGTTTGGGTTGGAAGGGACCTTAAAGACCATCTAGTTCCCACCCCCCTGCCATGGGCAGGGACACCTTCCACTAGACCAGGTTGCTCAAAGCCTCAGCCAGCCTGGCCTTGAACACTCCCAGGGATGGGGCATCCACAGCTTCTCTGGGCAACCTGTTCCAGTGCCTCACCACCCTCTCAGGGAAGAATTTCTTCCTGATGTCCAATCTAAATCTCCCCACTTCCAATTTAACCCCATTACCCCTTGTCCTGTCACTACAGACCCATGTAAAAAGTCCCCCCCAGGTTTTCTGTGGGCCCCCTTTGGAGAAGGTTATTTGTTTCAAAATTTCATGTGCTACAAGTGGTGCTGATGGAATCCACCCTGGAGATTTCCAATGAAAGGCTGGGAGAAAAATGCCTACCCTGTATGTCTGTTCTGGGGGTTAAGTCACGCTCCGGGGAGTCAGAGATGGGTGTTGGAATGGTTTGAAAGTTGACTTTGACTTGGTGCACAGTAGTTGACCTCAGCTAAACCTCTGCCTGCGTATCGTATCCCCTCCCACGTATGAATGAGGGGAACCACCAGCACGAAAGGTCACCTGAATGGGGGGGGGAGGTGGGCTATCGGTGTGTGTTGGATGAGCTCACAGCACCTGCAGCGCACGTTGAGCCCCCATGGAGACACTTGTGGGTTACCCGTGCATCCTAAGCCCCCAGAGGTTAGAAGAGGTCTTTTGAGGCTCGGCTTTATCATCCATCTCTGCTCATCAGGACTGCCGTAGGCACGTATTCCATTTCATAATGCAACATGGGGCTTTGATTTTTTGGGGGTGGGGTTTGCTTTGGTATCCTCTGGATGCAAATTGGCTGCCTGTGTGATGAACTAGGCAGGAGGGGTGTGATAAAACAGCCCTCATCGGGCTGTATCGGGTAGCCTGGGGGTTATAATTAGGAGCCACGCTCTGGCTACTCTCCCTACAAAACAGAAAGCCGATAGGAGGTCAAATCCTGCCTGTCTTGTGCTGGCCCTTGTCCCTTCTTGCCCTTGTGTGCATTCTCAAGGGAGCAGGAAGCTCCACGCCGAGCTGTTGGTGCAGTTCGATCTTGCCCTTCATAGCAGGGCAGCCACAGATTGAAAAGCTTCACTTGAGGCAGCCGAGATGGTCAAGTAAACCCACCTGCTCCAGCACTGACCTTCCTAAAGCCAAGTCTTCCCCCGGAAGCGTCCGTTCTCCTCTCTCTGCTTCATTTATTTCATTGCTTCATGGGGACACAGTGGGAAGAGCAGCCTAACCAATGAATGAAGAGCGTTACCTTGAGAAGAAGGTAATGCTTTCTTGGCTAAGAAAGGTACGTGTGACTCTTACTTTATAATCTTCAAAGGATAATTTTGGTCTGTGGATAGAAGATGGTTATTTGCTGAAATCTGAAGTTAAAATATCTTACTTGGAAACCGTTTATTTGCAATTCAGTGTATTTGCACGCATGTAAACATCTGTATATTCTTACTGTGCTCTTGCTAAAAAAATGGATTTTCATACATGGGGTTACGAGTGCATATTTTGGCACCTGGGTACTTCCCCCTTCCCCCTCCGCCTTCCCAAGCTCTCTCCAGCCAGTGAGTGTTTCTTTTTCTGTCTATCCCACTTCCTTTTCTCTGGCTCCTTCCAGCTGCCAGTGTCTCCTGCTCACCCCACTCTCACTGTCTTACAGCTCTTTTTCCTGGTGGTAGCAACAGCCTTGCGTCAGATCTAGGTATAGCTCCCCTCATCTGGCCCTAATTCAGGCATCTTTGCCCTGTCTTTGGGTGGAAAACAGCAAGAATTGTTCATCCAAAAGATTTCTGAAGCACTGATGCAAAGGCTGAGCTGGATAGGAATGAAGAAAGGTAGCTGGTGGATAAGGAACCGGCACATCAGACACACGAAGCGGTCCGTTCTGCCCTTTGGTTCCACGTACCACCTTCGCAGGGCTCCAAACAGTAGTCACGTGCTTAGAGTTTTGCCATTACAAACAACAACTCTGTACTGGTTTCTTATCCCGTGTTTCCTGGTTGTATTTGGGATCACAACCTGTGGGCTTTGCCAGCTGTTGGGTTTTCCTTTTAACTCACTGGGTTTTTGGGTTGGCTTTTATTTTAACTCTACTTTTAACCCTGTAGATCCCTCACCTTTGCCTAATGTTATCATTTGTGACTAGCTTCAAAGCAAAGCTTGGTCACGAAAAAGCTGAGGAACCTGTGTCAGCTTGTTGAAATCAGATTTCACAGATTTCTAGGCAACTTTGGATGTTTCTTTTTTCTGCCCCTTTTAGCCTTATGTCTGAATCTGCTGGGGTTTCTAGCTGTGTTTCCAAGGAAATATTTGTGCTGGGGTGGAGGTGAGGGGCTGGGTATCTTTGATTTACTGCTATCTGTTCACAAAGCCTTTTATGGAGTTAATGGAGGGCATATTTTCCTGCCATTTATTCAGCATTTGAGCCATGTGCTCTCTCCCGCCTGCCCTCTTGCACAAGACACATTGCTTTTCCCCACACCGCGCATCACCAAACTCCAATCAATTTATGTTTGGCTATGACAGAAGACAAGCAGGAACTCCAATTGTTTTCAGCTCCTTCCATGTTGTAAGTCACAAAATGATAGATTCATTTTTCCAGCCTTCTGGTTCTTGATTCATACACTGTGTAAGAGATCCCTGGTTGT